AGAATATTATTGTAATCTAATTGGAGTTTAGATTCTAAGTCTTGTAAGAAGTAACTTCTTTGATAAGAGGGAGAAGATTGAATTCCATTGAGCCTAGCTAGGAGTATTTTTTTCTTTTTGAAAATATCTCCAAATATCTCATTTTTTCAGTTCATAATAGTGTCTTTGAAAGTAATTTGAGCATCAGTTAAACTATTATTAGACCAACATCATTTAACAATGTTGATGAAGTCAGGATGTCTACACCAAATAGTTTCTAATCTAAAAGGTTTATTTATGAAATTAACATTTTTAGGGGATAGTTGAACTAATAACGGGCTATGGTCAGAGTGTGTTCTGGGCAGATGGATGACCATAGCTTTGGAAAAAATGGATAGTTAGCTATTATAACAAAAATCCTGTCTAATCTTTTCATAATTAATCCTCTAGATTTTTTCCTATTATTAGTCCAAGTATACTTACATCCTTTATAACCTAGGTCCAATAGATTGCATTTGTTAATTCTATTCCAAATATTGTTACTTCTCCTACGGTTGATTGGATTACCACCAAATTTATCATTTGTTCTAAAAATGTCATTAAAATCTCCCCCTAGGAGCCATGGCTTATAGTTATTGTTATGAATGCTTTCAATATTATTCCATAGATTACATCTTTTTTCTAGGTTAGTACTAGCATATACCGACGAAAATAACCAAGTAGTATTAAAGGGAGTTACCTTTACAGTGGCGTGGATCTCTTGGTTCCTTCTTACAAAATCATGGACTCTCATTATGATAGAGTCCTACATAATAACCATACCCCCAGCTTGACCCTCCGTTGGGACCTTAACCATTTCCGTAAAAGAAAAATCATTCAGTAGGGTGATATGATTTTTTATACGGGTTTCTAGCAAAGTAACCATGCAAGGTTTGTGAGTATCAACCATCTCCCTAAAGTTGATACGGAAGTTGTCATTGTTACCACCATGAATATTCCAAATGATGATGTTAGTAGGCCTATACATCATTGGTACATGATTGTTGTTTGAGCTATTCTCCATTCTTGCATGGAGCATTGGGTTCCTCCTCAGAGAGAGAATAAGTATCATTACATGGCTCCCCACTGTTGGGTCTTGTGGTAGCCTGATGTCCATTGAGAACTTGTGAAAGGCTGGGGGCAACTGAGTACATACCTCTTCTCTAGCATCTCCCTGAAGAGATAGACTTTTACTTCATTTAGACTTGAGAATTCTATTATCTCTTCCGATCCTAGTAAGTTCATTTCTTCCACATTCTCTACTGGTGGCTCTTCTTGTTGTTGTGCATTGGGATTGATTGGTTGTGGTGGTGGGATGTTTACTAGGGGAGCTGCTTGAGCTTGGTTCTGGTGGAAGTGTGGGCTGCTGCCCATGGCGTGAAGATTGGGTTTAAGTTCTGGATCTCCCCTGGGGGAAAGAATGGGAGATCTAGAGACATATTCTGTGGTTCGAGGGGATTGAAGTGATGGGGGAGGTTCCACCGATTTCTCATGGCTTGAGCTTGGTGTGCATTCATAGTGGGGGCTAGTGGGTGAAGTATGTTGTTTAGCCAAACGTGGTTGTGGTAGTTGCTCATGGCCATGTGCATTCCCTCGGAATAAGTTGTGCTAGAAAGTGAGAGTTTTTGAGAATGGTCATTGTTTCCTGGCCATCTAGGATCATGTTGAACGTGACTGCATGGCCCATCAGTTCTTGTTCTATCCATGATAGAGGTTGGTGATCTTGAGGGAGAGATGGTTGGATGAAGAGGATTGTTTAGTTTCCTTGTTGGTTGTTCAAATTTGGAGGTGGGTTGGCCATTGTGTGAGCTCTTTGGTACCTTAGAATTTGCATAAATCCGTACCCCCTCCTTTGTGATATGGGAATTCTTGGCATTATGTATATGAAGGGGTTGATTTGTAGTGATCGGATTATTTTGTTCACTGGAAGGTGGAATAGTTTTGGTAGAGAGATTTTCTAGGGTGTTAATGATTTGGTCTATTTGTATGCTTTGCTTGCATGTTTGAGCAGAGATTTTAAGCTGATTTGGTATAGTAGTAGGGTTAGGCACGTGTTATTTGTAATTGGCCAAATATTTAATGGGTGGGGGCATGTAGGACATGTGTTATGGGGCCTGATTTTCATCCATGCAATTGTTAGAAATGTTATCAATCAGTTTAGGATAATTAGAGGGATGGTTATCGAAAGAAATAGCTTCTCTCCGGTAATTAATATTATTATTATCTGATTTATTATCTTTGTTATTAAAATTAGTGGGGAATTTAAAGACTGCATGTTGGGTAATTCACTTACCTTCATGTCAGACACGTTTCCACTGGGAGGTTTTGTTAATGCCACGTTATTATTGTCTAAAAATAAATTATTTTTAGAATTATGTAAATCATATTCTTTTATTTTGTGGGCGGATTCTCCAAAGTAGAGAATTTGTTGCTACAATTTACGTAATTTCTTTGAGGAAATGTGCAATGATTAGTCGGAGTTTTTTTGTTACTCATAGATTGAGTGTTTGAGAGGATAAAGTTAGTATAAGGGGTTTGAGTAGAATACTTACCCGGTATTGGATGAGGTAGATTTGATTGAATACCTGGATTTTGTGTGGTTTTAGAACCTCTTCCATTGGTTCGTTTTTTCTTGGGGAACTTAACCATCTGCCATGCACTGCCATTAACCTCGCTGACATTGCTTACTTCCTTAGAGTGAGGATTTGAATTACCTGGAATGGAGTTTATGGCTGGCAGTGGAGTTTTTACATAATGGCGCCTCATTGCCACATGACCTAGTCTCCCACATTGCTTGCATAGAGTGTTCTCACCCTCGTATTGGATGATTTGTTTATGGTGACCAATATTGATGAAGGGAATTACAGGAACCACTTGCAAGACATTCACTATGTGAATTGAATTATGTGGAGTTTTCCTAGCTTCTCTCTCTAAAACTTTTCCTCTAGCTTCTCTCTAAACAAAGCTAATCTTCATCCCTTCAATTTCAAATACCATCGGAAATGGATCCAATCAATAACATTTTTCATATTCCCCCTAAACCACCAGATAAGAATACTAACACTCAAAAAGAAAAAAATCAAAGCTTTAAAGACAAGCTTATTGAAGGAATACAACATTTCCTAACATTGCTGAGACCCCTACATAAATTAGTACTACTACAAAACTCCAAGAAACATATCCTCTACCCATACACCACAAATATTTGCTCGTAAGAATTCTCTCTACCATTAAAAGCTATATTATAGATGTTACTACTTACTAAAATGTATATATGTCGAGTAGGTTCGAACAAACCAATCTATAAACCAAACCAATCCAACAAAAATCGAAATTTTCAATCTCGATTTTACTCAAGTTTTTTGGTTTTTTCTGATTTTTCAGATTTATTTTAGTACAATCTTCATAGCATAAAATATAACCTATGTTCCAAATATTTCTTTGGTTCTTGTAGGATACAACTATATAAGGTATTACCCAAGAAAATAACATAAAATAACGTGAATATTGTACCAAAATATTCAACAATAAAGATAATAAAATAGCATAACATATATATAGCTAATTAATAAGTCATAATAAAAATGAACATAATCTAAAAGTATTAAGTCATGCTAAAATAAGTAAGACTAATGAGTAGTAAGTAATAATTACATGACTAAATAATTAAAAAAAAATAAGCTATGCATTTTTACTGTCTAAGCCAATGCAAAACTAAAAAAAATAGATATCACATACTATTGTCATTCCTAGTATTGAATTGAATTTCTTTTGTTAGCATAAGTATTGATTTAGTTTTACTTTGGGCCTTTTGAGTTGCTAACATTTATGATCTATAAAACATATCGGATCATCCAGAGATTCTAAGTCCAAACAAATAATATGTTAAAAGAGAGAACTATGAAAAAGTTTAATTTTTTTTTTGTAAATTACATTACAATATGTGTGCAATATTTTTTAAACTTGTATACATGTAATGTCAGATTGGTTTGATTTCAGTTTGACTTTTTTAGGTAAATCCAAGCTAAATCAATTGTGGTCGGATTTTTTTCCCAACATCAAACCAAATCAAATCATAGTCAATTTTTTCTCATAATTTGACTCAAATTATCGATTTGATACGTTTCATTTGTACACTCCTAGATGTTACCAAGTAAAAAGTAAAGGCCACAACTTAACGCCAACTTGTAATCTTTCTCTAAAGTAAACGTAGAAGTCAAATATGATAACTATATCTAGGGCACGAAACTAACAAAATTACTTTTAAGCGTTTATTTTTTCATTTTTAGAAAGAAAACTAAATTAAAATTCAGCAAAATTCAAACATACATTTAAGTGGATCTGAAAAGAGCTAAATAGTAAAATATTTCTTCGATGTAAAGAATGGTAAATGCAATGAATTGCCAGTGTATAAATCTTATTCAACTTTGGAAGAATTGAAATTGTATTTCATGTTCAATATTCTCCAACTTATTTGGGAAGGCATAATTATAATTATTGTTGACCAATATTCGTAATTAACACGAAATAAACGGTATAATAGACCAAAGATAAAGATGGAAAGGCTAATTTCATGTTTCAAAATCAACTTAGTGAATATGAATTCATAGTTCAAATCATAATAAGCTTTTTCATATCATTATTTACTCTCATATAAACTATTATTTACTCTCATATAAACTATGTGGAAAAAATAATAATAAAGGTTAATGTGAATTTTTGTTTTTTTTAATTAAAGGGTTAATGTGAATGGAATCGTGTATTTACAAGGGGCCACGGACATGTAGACCAAGTATAGATGGGCCTAGAAATCCGTCCAAAATTTATAGAAACTCGGACACCAAGTCCATATATAAATAGGAAAAAGGGAATGACAAGCCTTTAACAGCCAATAGCCAGTTAGCAGGCTCGGCTTACCGTCTAATAATCACCTTATCCGGTCACCGGTCACCCTCTATAAATATAAAGCCAAGGGTAGATAAGGCTCTCCTCCTCACCGCCATTACCTGCCCCTCTCTCTCAGATCCTCTCATATATTCCTCCCTCTCTCTCTCTAGAGATCTCTCTCCATAGAGCCCAGCACTACTCACTGAAATCCAAATCTTTACGCATACAAATATATAAAAGCTTTCTTCTTTCAAAAATTTGGCGCTTTACAATTGATAAACAACTCTTTCCTCTTTTTTCTCTTTCTTGAAATAACTGGAAATTCACGTACTGAATCTTTAAACAAAAACCTAGATTTACAAATTTTGATTTCATAATCAGGTGGTTAATAGGTTGTGGTTCTGAATCTGGTTGGATCTCTGTGTTTATGGATCTTGATTGGAAACCGTAATTGAGCAAATCGCGTTAAGATTTAACTTGAATCAAAGAAATTGTAATTTTAAGAATTTGGTTTTTGAGATTCTTGACTAAGTGGAAATTTGTGGGTATTTTGAGACCGGTGGATAACGAAACAAGGGGAATGGCTGAAGTGGGTCTAGAAGGGAGCCAACCAGTGGATTTGTCTAAGCACCCATCTGGGATTGTGCCTACTCTTCAGTAAGTTCTCTCCCTTCCGTCCCCATTGTCATGTCTTAAGGAGGGAGTTAAAGGTTTTATACATTGAGACTCACGCGAATGTAATTGTACACAACCGAGGAAACGATTTATTGGTTGAATAGTCAATATAAGTCAATCAGATTGAACCTACCGGAATCTGGTGTTATAACCTATGTATCCAAAGCTCGAATTATTTTCTGCTGATGCAAAAAAGAAAAAGAAAACAAAAGAACAAAAGGGTCATGTTCTTCTATGTTTTAAATATTTTGATTCATACCCTTCTTGGCTTTTGTGCAAAGGAATGAGTTGAACATTGTTAATTTTTGAGATGCTTAAATACATTCTTTGCTGCAATGGTCCTTTTTTCTCAGATGTGTAGCAATTTTCAGTGGAGCTAAATGTGACAGCCATCTGCATAAGAGGGAGGGTGGGGGTATGTGGTAGCCATGTTTTTTAATGCTCTTCAAGATTATCCTAATTTCCTGCGGGAAACATTAGGGAGGATTGTCGTGGTCTGTGATAACTTTTGCTGGTGAAGCAAGTGAATTTGATCTCACATAATATTAGTCACCACACATAAGTGAAATCATGAACTAATCATAGATGAGTAGCTTTTGGCGGTTGATAGGTTTCGGAGGATTAGATTAGTGAACCCCACTTTCAAGCAAGCTGTCCGGATATAGATATAGAAAGAGAGCAGTTTTTCTTTATTGTTATGTAAAATTTGGCTGATGATCCAAGATTGTAATGTGGAGACATATATTCATGCTTCTTATATGCAAGATCATCCTCTATATGCTGGGAGTTGATGTTAAATGCGGCCAACTAACTATAAGCTGATTCTTGATTTCAGGAATATCGTCTCAACTGTCAACTTGGATTGCAAGTTGGATCTTAAAGCTATTGCATTGCAAGCACGTAATGCTGAATACAATCCAAAGGTATTTGAGTATAAATTCTTGATTCACATAGGCAAATCTCTTATGTGTTATCTTTTTTGATTACCATCATTTTTTGGGGAAGAGTGTATCTATATCAGGTCATGTTCGTCAAATAGATTGGTAACACTTCTCATTCCTTAATTGATAATGGCCCTCTCACATCACCCTGCAGCGTTTTGCTGCTGTTATTATGAGGATAAGAGAACCAAAGACTACAGCTTTGATTTTCGCATCTGGAAAGATGGTAAGCCTTCTCTTTTGTTATGGATGCTTTTGTAAGTAATCTATTCCCAGTATTACAGTTTGCTCCATTAGTTTCATGGTTTGTCCATGAAAACATTTCCTAAACCTAAATATTTTACTTTAGCCCATTCTACTGGAAAGTTTCTTCAATGTAAGGCTGTTCATGCTGGGCTTCTTTGCTAACGATATATTATCTCTTGGAATTAGGTTTGCACCGGGGCAAAGAGTGAACAATCATCTAAGCTTGCAGCAAGGAAGGTAGACCATATTTCTTGATTGTGAAACCTGATAGGGTCCTTACATATAATACGAGAAACTTAACTCTTAACTATAATGTGGATACGGGCATTTACAAGTGACAACAATTAATGTTTTGAAAATTCCTGAAGAGTGATGAAAAAACACGAACATGTGGGATCTGGTAGAAAAAGATACATACCAAAAATTAGACAATATTTGTCTAAGAATTTCTGTTCTGTCTTCTATCTTACGCAACATGCAATGTTTTGTCTTTCAGTATGCAAGGATAATCCAGAAGCTTGGGTTCGATGCCAAATTTAAGGTATATATATCTCAATATATTGCCGAGTTTGCGTTCTTCTGTCTGTGTGTGCCTGCAATCTGATTTTGGAGATAGACTGTTTCTTGATCATTGGTTTCAGTAGACTTACTAGTTTATTTGGTCTCTTGAATCTCTTGGTGCTAGGATTTCAAGATTCAGAATATAGTTGGATCCTGTGATGTGAAATTTCCCATTAGACTTGAAGGTTTGGCGTACTCGCATGGTGCTTTTTCAAGTGTAAGTTACTTTTCCTTGCTCCATGTTATTCTTTCTCCTTTTTCTTTTTCTTATCTCTTGATATCCCAAGAGAAAGAATAGTGCCGTTGTTATTTCTTTCATACTGAGATGAGATGTAATGTGGTTCTGCAGTATGAACCAGAATTGTTTCCAGGATTGATATACCGAATGAAGCAACCCAAGATTGTGCTGCTCATTTTTGTGTCTGGCAAGATTGTCCTCACTGGAGCAAAGGTGAAACAGGCCTCCTTTTGTCTCTACTGAATAACTGATACTTTTCCATTATTGCATAAACCGTTGACTATACTCACTACAATTTCCTTTTTTTAGGTGCGGGATGAGACATATACTGCTTTTGAGAACATCTACCCTGTGCTTACAGAGTTCAGGAAGAACCAGCAATGGTATGCTACCTGCTTATCTTTATTCTGCTTTTTGTATTTTCTTTCTGGATGGGTTGTATGAAACTAAAGGCAAAACAAGAATGAGAGAAAATATAGACCTTCTGCTGTAACTGTGCAGATACTCATTTGAAGGAGCAAGGTTGAAGTGGGATCACTATTTGGAAGCACGACATACAGAATGTGCGACAAAGGGTCTTATGAGTGGAGTTATCGGCTCTTCTCTTCTTGAGTTGCGAGTACTTGAAGCAACAATGTGGTTGAGGACCATATATGTGTTTCTGCCAACAGGTCGACTGTGATACTGCTAAAATTTCTCCAAGTTAGGCCCAATATTCTGGTTTTTCCAAAATCAGGTCATCCTGAAAACCTACCAATTACAAAAATAAAAGTAGAATCATGACTTGGTAGTGTGAAAATTATGAATGTTGTACCTCAGAAGTTGGAAGTTTGTAAAAGATAGAGAGGGTTTAAAAATATCAGAGATAGAAAGAGGAGGGTGTATTTGCTGTTGTCAATTGCGTTCATTAGGAAAAACAAATTTTGCATTCCTTTGTTATTTAGATGTATACTGGGATTGTGTTATCTGCTTAGGCGCGCAAAAAATCTAAATTTAAGTCAATCAACTGACAAAGAGTTTTTAAGTCTTGGCGATGGCTCTCTATTTGTTTGCAATTAAATTTCGTCTATTTCATTTGTTTTCATTAGTTAGATCACTTATGCAAGCAAGCGTCATGAGAATGCAAGAATACTTGTATTGTATTATTGTTTCATAATAAATCTCATATACAATAATACGTTGTGCATTATTTTAACAATGCTAGATTTTTTATTTTTATGTAGAGATCAAACTTGTTATCCGACCAACAACAACAACATCAAACATAATGTAATTCCATAAGTGAGGTTTGCGGATGACAGTGTGTACGCAGACCTTATCCTTACCTTCAAAAAGGCAGGAATGTTGTTTTCGATAGTGTTACCAGACCAACCAATACGAAATTTCTTTTAACATAAATAAAGCTAAATTTTTTATATTATATACCAACAGATTTAAAACACATTCGTTAAAATATATAGATAAGGCAATATACAATGTTTGAGGAAGATTAGATATGGTTTGAACTAGTTTGAAGTCAAATTTATAGTTAAAATCGAATTTAAAAATTTCTGTGCCCACGAGTATACATGGATACACATAAAAAATATAGTTGATATATATAGGATAGATAAATAATACACAAGAAGATACACATCTCATCTTCTTTAATGTTCATCTTCTACTTCAATTTTGGTTCAAATTTCAATTCAAACAACCTCAAATATCCACCAAACCGTCCAAAAATTGAGATTGAAACCTCTTGAGGTGTACCCAATTTATTCTAACAACACCCACGTGAAATAACAAAATTACGGTAGTAGTTGAGCACTAAAACCTAACTTAATTATAAACATAATGGAATTAAAAAAAACGCTAGCTACTAACACCTAATGCAACTGTAAACACGACGGAAATGAAAAAAAGAACATGTTAGCAGTTGAGTACCAAAATTTTCATAACTTAAATAAGCTAAGCAACACAACAGAGTTAGGCTTTCTCTTCACGGGGTTGCGGCCAACTCTTCCTCTTAGGGTCCTCACTACAGCGTTCTATCTAATTCACTTTAAAAGAATCACATTACAATTTTTAGTTTTAATATTTATCCTTAAAAAAAGATGATATTATCTGGTGATTTTATTTGTCTAACTGATATTGATCTTTAAGAGCTAACCATCAACTTGATTAGCTTTTATTAATACCAAGATCGACTAGAAAGAAACAAGACGAATACGAGCTTAAATGCAACATAATAAAATAAAACAAATTAATGGGAAAAAAAGTTACGGAGTATAGGATTAGCATCATCAATATACAAAAAGGAAAGACTTACATTCATTGAAATGCCAAAAGCTAACTTAATATTGGTAGCATTTAAGTATTGGCAGTATTTAATGAATTGACTAATATTCGTAGCATTGTTGCTCTAAAAGGCCAAACTTGATATTTTTCATCCTTTAGCTTAACATTAAAGATTCACTTCTAATTATTCTTATTCTTTCATTCTTCATTCTTCTTCTCCCTCAGTGTCGACCAGTTCGCACCCCCCAAATTCCTCTACCGTTTATTCTATTTCAATTCTCCTCCCAGATTCAAAGCCGATAACCACTATTTGTATCAAGAAGAAAAAAATAATACATAAAGGAATTATTTATTTGGAGGCATATGAAAACCATTTTGATGGATTATGATAAGCAGCGGAAGCAATCCCAGTATCAAATTAACATGTAATCTAGACAACTAGTATATACGGAGTTTTCCGGGTTACCTCTTGAAGCGTGAACACAACCCTTCAGTCACGTGAGCCTTCAACTTCACATCGTCTCAATAAATCTCCACCACCCGATCACAATCTCCGAACTTTCCACGGCTTTCTACTGTGTTACCCAAATAATATCCGAAAATAGTAATTTTTGTGGGCGAAAATCTCTAGGAAAATGGCTGAAATTTCGGCCGCTGTCTACTGCTTTCCTCTAGGTGAAAAATCTTATGTATTTATAGCACAAGTTTTAAGAGTTAAAACCCTTTTCCAAAACATGTTGGCTTTTCTTTTTCACCAAGAAAATAATTTCTTCGTTTCCTATTATTTAGGCACAACAGTGACCACAAAATTTAATTAACAAGGCTTTCAATTATGGAATTAATTTCTACTTTTCGAAATTAATATCCACCATAATACATACGAATATTCCACTAAAAATTTGTAATTGCACTTCTTATTCAATTTCAAAATTCATCCATTAAATATTATTTAACTCTCGTGTTAAGATTCAGTTACTAATCAATTCAATTAAATTACTAACAATTTAATTTCTTGATTATTTCCTTTGGACTTTCGCTTAACTTATTTCATGTGTCGGATATAAAATTCATCACCCGAGTTTCACATGAAAATTTATAAGTTTTCATAAACGTGTATCATCAATCTCTAAACCGAGACATGAATTCCATCATCTAACTATTATTTTGCCAATGTACATCATTACTATTCAATTTACCAGGCATATTAACCCACGAACGAATCTCGCATTTTAATAAATCAAAACAATAATAATATACATCTAATAATAATTATATCAAGATTAAGAGTATAAGTACATTTAATGGTTAGAGAACTTATTTTATTAAGTCAGTATAAAATACTTATCTCTACTTGGTCCGTTCAATACATATAAATTAAAATATACTAGCACAAGAAGTTAGAATTAAATCATTCCCATAATCAAAATAAATTATATTTAATCTTGTGCTACAATCATTCCTGATGATTCGTCCAGTTCCATCATTAGATTGTGAACTCAAACTTGATACTTATAAGAACCGATGATTTAATCTTCCGTGTATAAACTAAACTCTATACACTAAATCATCTACTTAGCAAAGGACACACACTAATATATGATCTATCTAAATCTTTATCAAAATTGGATAAGCAATTATTTCATAATAAATACTATATCCAAACCCGTGGTTAATAGTATATATCCCAACACATTTGCTCCATTAGAATGGAGAGAATTGAGTTTACTGTCGTGCACTAAAGATGTTCACTTAGTACGTTGTTGGATCATTAAATTAGAAAGAAGGTACTAGTATTGTCTCAGTCATATCCTCATTTCACATGTAATTTCAATCTAGTGGTTGATTGAAAACTTTAAAAATAAAAGTCCATCATTAAAGGTCGTTCGAAGCTTCGATTTAGGTATTGAGTTTTTCGAGTTGTTAGTTGTTTGGATTGCATATTGTTCTAATCGATTGAAAACAACAAGAAGAGTACATAACTTAAAATTTGAAGTGATTGAAATAGATTTGAGCTAAATTGAAGTTAAATTTCAGAAGATGCTCAACAAAGAAGAAGAAGAACACGTGAAACTCCATTGGTAGGATTCATCTGCATAACAATATATAATATTGTATAATAATGTATAAATACCTTTTATATACTATTATATACAAGGTTGATACACTATTTACATGTGTTTGGTGGATTTCTCATATTTTCTTCCTTTTCTTCTTCTTCCTACACACCTATACATAGTGTATCACAAAACATACTTTTTATTATTATGCTTATATATCTTTATACACTTTTATGCATTTGTATTCATAATGTACCTCCTTATATAAGAGTATATAACATTGTATAAAAGTGTATAAGCATTTCTGGCACACTTCTTGTACGATTTTCAGTTGCAATTCTCGTTCAAAATCAGTCCAAATGTCTTTAAATAACTTCAAATTTTGTAGACAGTCTCTTTAGACTATTTCTAACAAGTCTAAACAACACCTACTTTAAATTTATCACAAAACTTATTTAAGCTTATTCAACAATGGTAAGTTACCTTAAAACCCTAATTTTCAGTACCAAATGGATTTAGTTTGTAGAACTAATGTTTGAGTCACAATTATTGATTTAGAGATTTGGTTAAAAGCTTGAGCTTTAAAAAATCTAAATAGCAATTTTGAGAATTTATTTAAAGTTGGATGCTGAATTTTGACCTATTATTTCAAGCTACAACTTTGCAAAATTGTATATAAGCCTCATAATTACAATGTATGCGTGTGGATTGTATTTATATGTAATTCTCTCTTTGATTTACGTGCTTTAGTTTCGTTTTTATGTTCTAAAATTAATGTTACTTTTCTACACTTGATATGTTTTTAATTTCAACAATTTTCATACCCTTAAGAATTGACATGATATATTTAAAACCATAATCCAAATAATACTTTTAGTATGCTACCTACCTTTAGTTTAAAATTATAATTCAAATATCTATCTTTATATTCTTAATCACATCAAAATAACACGGAGGAAATTACTATATATTATATTACTACTTAGAAATGTCAATTTGAAGTGGAGGATGTGAATTGAAGAAAATGAGAAGTTCAATTTACAGACTACAGTCACGTGGTTGAAAGATGACTGCCAAAAGGAGATATTTCTAACAAGGAGCCGTGCAATACTTGTGGTTAAGAGTACTTTTCCGCGAAGAAATTGAAGCCAAAATGCAAAAGCAACGAAACTGCCACTTTCCTCGATAGTACTTTTAGCTTCAATGCTTATACCAAACCAAAATGTGAAAAACAATTGTCACATTCTTAAAAATCATAACGATCATTCTAATTTCGTTGCCCCTACCCACCCCCGGCCGCGGGAAATAAAAATATCTGCTTCAACAATGGCGCAATTCACGGTGAGAGGGCGCGTTAAGCCACTGTTCAACGGCGATGGACTCTCCGTCGGCTTCGAAGTTACCGGTAGTCCTTTAGGTCGCCGCTTTAAAGTTGTACGTGGTGGTGTGCACTGCAGTGAGGCTCCTTGTTCATCACCGCTACAACTTCAGGAACTCAAACTCCGGTTTTCTGGTGCTCGTAGTAGTACTACCAGAGTCTACGCAAATGCTTCTTCCTCATCAATCGGAAAATCAAAGAAGTTCCGCTTGAATGATCAATCGAATGGGATGAAGGAAGAGGTTTGGGAGGAAATCATAGAGGAAACGGAGTTTGAGAAGGATGAGCTTTCCACTTTCAGAGGCTTGGTCTTGGACATATCTTACAGGTGTGGGTGTTTTCTGGTGTAACTAGTACATTCCCTGTTTGAAAATTAGGGTTCGAGTTCTTTTTGGGAATGATCTTGTTTGAATTCTTTTGTAGAGTTGATAAAATAAGTATTCGTCATTGGAGTATACTGTACTAGCATATAAAATCTGACCAAGTGAATTATTTAGTCTTTAGTGTTTGACTAATACTATTTGTCATTATTTTTTAATAAGTATGTTTGGCTAATGTTATTATTTGATTGTTCTTGAAAGCCCATGACTAGTTTTGTTCATGTGAGATGTCACATGTTATAGGGGTAAAAGAGATTGAAGAATTTGTAAAGGTTATAACTGTTGAGGTACAATTTTTTTTGGCAATTAAACAATTTTATTACCAAAGTATAAACTATGTACAGCTCAAGAAATAAAGAAAAACAGTCTGCTGAGCTGGACAGAAGGCCCCAGCTCAGCTCTTATTTTATATCCTACCAATTTCAAGTACCTTCATCTCTACTATTACAGTTCAAGGATAAAAATTCAAGTTTTTTAGTTTTCCCGCTACTGATGGCTTCATCGACCCCTTATGAAATACATCTTGAACAGTCATCTTAATGATAGTACCAACATCCCTTTTGTTGTTCATGAATACTCCTTGATTCCTCTCTTGCCAGACAGAGTAGACACTCCCGGCTAAAACCATCCTGTACAGCTCAGCCTCTGGATTCTTGCCATTATAGTTAACTACAGCCCAGTCAAGTTCATCATTCCAGCTCATTACTTGCCTCTGAATACTTTGCCATTGCAGCAGTTTACTCCATATTTCAGTAGCAATTGTGCATTGAAAGAACAAATGTGCTATACTCTCAGTTGCCCGGTTGCATAAGGGACATATATCAGATGAAATCACTCCCCACTTATACATCCTATCTCTTGTGTACAGTCTTCCATGAGCAGCCAACAATACGATTAATAATGATTTAGGTGTACCAATATTATTGCAAGTTATTCTTCTCCAGGGAACCTTAGGATACATCTTCTTGATAGAAAAGTGCTCCATGTTGAGGTACAAATTTCTTCATCTTTTGTGGTAAAGAAGGTGGTTTCCTTGAAATCAGGATGAAGAAGAATGGAGGATGGAGGTCTTGGGTAAAGAAAGAGGACCCCCAATATTCTTATGCAATGCATTTGGCTGAAAGTATTCTACTTTTTTGGATTAGGCTGGTGCCGTACATCTGAACATAGAAAAAGTCTGCTTTTGTTTTTCATGCTGCTATCTTTCGTCATTTCTATTTGTTTTGCATTATATCTATTGTTTTAAAATTTAAGTAGTTACTGGAGTGGTATACCTCTTTTTGAATTTGTTGTCAAGTCTAATTACTTTTTGCTTGCTAGGCCTGTTAATGTTGTCTGCTGGAAACGGGCTATTTGCTTGGAATTCATGGAGAAGGTCAGACCATTTATTTCTTGCTGTTGTTAGAACTCCTTGTGATTACTACATTTATTCCTTCCTGTGGCCTTACCGATCAAAACCAAAAAAAAAAAAAAAAATTTCTTCCTGTTGCCTCAATAGAGCCAGCATCAGATCCAAGATATAAACTCCATGTGTAATGAACTTTTACACAAATTTATGTTCCGCGTTGAAAGTTCAGGGTTCATATGAACCCGGTGCATCAACCTTGCGTCCGCCCCTGAATAGAGCTGTGTTTAAACAAAAAGGCCAAATTTTTTAGATGGCAATACGTGAAACTTCGTGGAAATACTAATTGCTTGATTGTTTATGAGTTAGAAAACAAGGCTGGTTNAAAACAAAAAAAAAAAAAAAAAGAATTTCTTCCTGTTGCCTCAATAGAGCCAGCGTCAGATCCAAGATATAAACTCCATGTGTAATGAATTTTTACACAAATTTATGTTCCGCGTTGAAAGTTCAGGGTTCATATGAACCCGTGCATCAACCTTGCGTCCGCCCCTGAATAGAGCTGTGTTTAAACAAAAAGGCCGAATTTTTTAGATGGCAATAAGCGAAACTTCGTGGGAATACTAATTGCTTGATTGTTAATGAGTTTGAAAGCAAGACTGGTTCTATCCTAAACTGTTAGAGCCTTTCAGTCTCTTTGAACACAACCTGCCTCGTCCCCTCATAGTCCTGCCATCTTGCGCATTGGGAAGAAAAAGAAAGTTACCCTATCCCACTCAGGAGCTGGAGGTATTGTTTCCCCGTTAAACGCCAGATATGTGGGTAAATTTCGGAGTTGACACCTCTCCAAAAGGCTTTATTTCTCTTTGATCTAATAAAACCCTAAGACTAGGCATGGTTGCATCAAAAGTTCAGTTACGTTGGCTGAGAAGTGCTTGAATCACCTAATACATGAACTATATGCACGAAATCAGCCTTGCAAAAGTTTGATGTACTGTAATAATTCTGTAGCTTATGACATATAGACAAAAGAAAAAAGGATTTTCATATCCCTGTGAACAGCATTAAATTTTTTTTGGATTTTGTTAGCTCCCTGATCTTAGCATAGACATTGTATTGGAGCCCTTTTGATGTTGACAATTTTTTGTTTTGTTAGCTGCCTTTTCTTTAGCATAGATATTGTACTGGAGCCTTTTGGTTCCTTTAGTAACTATGCATCTTTTTCATGCCTTAATTAATGATATTTACTTACTTCATTGGAGTAAGGTCTGCGTACTCACTACCCTCCCCAGACCCCATTTGTGGGATTATACTGGGCTTTTTTATTGTTGACTTGTTGTTGTTGTTGTTGTTGTTGTTGTTGTACTTCATTGGAAAAAAAAAGAAGTAAAGAAGGAAAAGAAAGCCTTGATATCTGAGGTTTTCTATTTCAAACTTAGTAGTGATGATATTATGCATGAATTTAGGATGTAAAGTTGGGATTCGAACAAGGAGAAATGAATTAATATTTTCAATTTATGCTTACTAAAAAGGTTGTTTTGTTCTTGTTACATTGTGCTTAGAGTCCAGTGGATGTGATGGTGGAGGTCACGATTCCCATTGCTGATTGCTGATTTTGTGGTTGTGTACATGCTGATGATTCTTTTCCTTCGGGATATTGTGGAGTAGGAGAACTCAACTCTTGTTTAGATGGGGAAATTACCTTGTACAAGCCCTTCTATTAAGTGGAAGGGAAAGAGCTAAGATAACCAAATTTCCTTCTCTCATGAACCAATCTACAGTGAAGGTTCCAATTCGAGGTGACTCAATCTCAAAGATTTAAAATCATTTTACAAAAATAGGTTCCCTTGACCCCAAACTTCAGGTCACTAAGTTGACTATCCTTGGAGAGACAAGCTTCTTAGAAATTAAAGCTGCTAAGCTTCAAAGAATCAGTGGCTCAATGTGCAGTGTTAACTGGATATTTAAAATTCAACATGTAATGTCCGGACACGATATTTGCCAGGGATTATGTAAATGACTTAATAACCTTATTTGCTTTAGACTTAAAAGTTTTAATCCTTTAATATTACAGCATTTTTCATACCAAGAAAAGTATTAGCATTATCAACATTCTAATCTGAACTAGTCTTCATGACCAGTTGTAGTGCATATTGTGATTTCTAGTTCTGATCAAGTTATTATTGGGTGAAACTGTAAAGCAACTTCCCAGCATCTTCTTTTTCACATTATTTTCTTTTTGATATAAAGCTTTTGATTTGTTCTTCACAGGCTGATGTTCTGGAGTATTATGATCAGACTGTAAATTCACCAAGTGGCTCCTATTATATTCCTGCTGTATTAAGGGTATGCCATTAGTCAGCACCAATGACATTCTAAGCCTTCTTTGTGCATTTCAACTGGCATCATTGGTTTATTATGCTTTCTTTCTTCTTTATATCTTGATTTGTCTGTTCTTTTTTCTTACTCTGACATCTCGGTACTTCCAGGTTCCTCATTTACTTCAGGTTGTCAAACGGAGGAGAATAAAGAAAGCTCTCAGTCGTAAGAATATCTTTTATCGGGACAACTACATGTGCCAGTAAGTGCTTTGCCACCTTTTTGATGCCTGTAGTGGTGCTATTTAGTTCTGGTTGAAAACTGATATTAGAACTGTTCTACTTCTCCAAAGGAATGATCAACTGTTTTATTCTCTGAAGCAAAAATGTACCTGTAATTACTGTTGTGTGTTTGACAACAGCAAGCACGATGAAGTGAATAAGCAAAAATGAACTCTTATATCTCCACACAGAGTTCCCTTTTGGCCCCTCAACGGCCCTTTTCCCATCCGTATTGAGCTCAAAAAACATGTGGAGTATACTTTTGAAATCACATCTATTGAATCCTACTCAGGCACACCAAAAAAAGTAAGGAGATGCCATTTTTCCTATCACTTTAATTGAGGCAAAGATGATTAATGGTTCTCATTCTTTTGCACACAAGGACCAACAAGACTTAAAATTTTCCTCCTTTTGATTGGATTCTTAGCTTTCGGATTAGCATAAATCACAGATTCCATAGTCAGAAAGCAGTTTTCTTGGTGGCTTCAAGGAGAAATTCTAAGATATAGAGTGGCATTTAGGGGGGGAAGAAATGCACATCTCGGTTGCTTTCTCCACTACTAAATGCTGCAAGGCCATAATAGATGCTCATTCCATGTTGCGAATTCCTGCTACTCTACCAGAAACTTTGAATGTACATCCTCTGTTATCTCGAACAACCAAGGAAACATCTATTGTGGATGACTTTTGCCACTAAACGCCAAGCCAAAGCAACTTTGAAGCCTATTACAAATTCATCAACAATGTTATCATGTTTTACATTCACAAAGATCTCCACCATTGAGCACAAGTAACCGCCTCATCAAACCTTATTTCTCTTGTCCTTGTTTTATCGTTTATTCTCAACAATTTTTCTCCTTAGCTGCCCTTGTATTGGAAATCCGAGTAAGGTCTTGGTTTTGCTACTATAAATGGGACAGATTTTATGAAAGCTACACAGAGACAGGATGTGTCTTGAGCTCTCTTAGCTTTTCCTGTACTTGTGACTTGGGAGATCATGATTTATAATCAATGTCCTAATACCTTTTCCTGTATTAACAGATATTGCTCTTCGGATGAGAACTTAACTATTGATCATGTTCTGCCAATTGCCCGTGGTGGAGAATGGACCTGGGAGAATCTGGTAAGATTGCCTATAATGTTGTCTAACTCCCGCTGTCACTTAATTATTTTTCTATGCAGATAATAATGTTTGTGCTAATTCGGCTTCAAAAGATTGCACCTTTTGTCCTTATAAAAGGCCATGACTGGTTAAGCATAAATTTGAGTTGGTCAAAATCTTGATCTAGGTCGGTCTAATTCGTCACTTGATTTCTGCTTATTTTGATTAGGAGCAAAGGATGTGTAAAAAAGCTATGTATTATATGCCGACATTGATCATGCACAGATATAAAGGACAAATGGATTTGGTAGGTAAAATGTGGATAACATACTAGAATTGTCTCAACTAGTCCGATGATGTTGAAATTCCTTGGGAACAGGACTGACTAGAATGAACCAAGTCTCAGAAGCTGGATGGTGCTAGTCTAACGATTATTATTGCGTGAGCACCAGTTTTTGTGTAATTTGGTTTTGCAACTTGAACTATCTTGTAATATCTCAAAGCTTAGTGAAAGTATTGCAATAGATGAGCTTAATAAATATCATCTGCTTTGTCAAAAAGAAAATTTAAAGATTTAATTAATGTTGTAAATTAGATTTATATTGCAAAACAACATTTCATTATATCTGAAGTGGCAACTCTTGAATGAGGCTTCCCTTTTTCCTCAGTTCTCACTTCAGATAGTGTGTATTTTCCTCCCCCCCTTCCCCCTAACTTAAAAAGGTTTGAAATCCTGTTAATCCATTTGTCTTGCTTCTGTTCTGAGCTTGAAAGATGGGATATATAGGCCCACAAGTTTTTCGCTGCTGGAAGTTCACATTGGTGCTTAACATTAATATCTCTTCCAATAGGTCACTGCCTGTTCCAGATGCAACTCAAGGAAGGGTCATAAGACACCCGAGGAAGCAAATATGAAGCTTATGAAAGAACCTAAGGTATTACTGATTCTTATCATAGTACCTTAATAGCTCCAGAACTGTGACAAAGCTTCTTAATTGGAAACAGTTTCATATATATGTTACCGTTTTCCTTGTTTTTTTTTCCTGTTTATTTTACTTGTTTCTCGTTCTCCTTTTTTATGTTTCTTCTCTGAGGTGGTTTGGGGGTGAAGTATCATGTTTAGCAAAAAGGGTCAGCAGAAATGGCAGTACTCTTGTTTTACCAGATAAAAGGCTGCTTAATTGTGATCTTGCAGGCCCCTAAAGAGTATGACATTCTTGCTATACCTTTGACCAGCTCGGCTATAAAAATGTTAAGATCGAAAAAGGGGACACCGGAGGAGTGGCGGCAGTATTTATCAATGCCGTCAGCAGCCCCTTAGTATCAACGTAAGGATCCAGCTTGTAAATTCTCTTCCTTGTGCAGAAATGATAGCAGTCGGAAATTCAATCTGAAATACCAAAACTCAGTTGTACTTCTATGTACCTGTAAATGTTTCTCTTCACCCCTACGTGGTTGTATATATGATAAATGCTCAAAGGCTCTAGTAAACCATTGGAGTTTCTAGTAATTGTTAGTATGCATAGGTGATCTTATTCATTGTTATCCTCCATTGAAGCAATGACAAATAAAAGGAGATCTCGACTTGATCCTTCATAGTTGCAAAATATAGTTGAAGGTGCATTCTCTCCTCTAAATAAGAAATGAAATGTATAAATTGTAGAGGTAAGGCACCTTATATATCTTTAAAGGAAATCTGTTATCTTCTTGGATCTGTCTTAATTAAGATAAAACATGCATCATTTGACTTAGTCAACAAACCTTTGCCACACTAATTAATTTATGTAGTTTCAATTTTGATTTGGGAAAAGAAAACTACCACATCTTTGATATGAGAATTTACTTATACGATATCCCCTTTTATTGTTTTACTAGTTGCGAGCCCAAGCTCAATTGCATAGTTAGGGTAGTAAAGTTGTGCTACTTAATTTTTATTATCATAGAAGTATAAATAAAAATCTCTTTTGAACTCCCAAAAATATTGTTAAGTAGCTTCTTTGCAACCCTCACACGTTTATTTCTTTTGAACTCCCAAAAACACGATACATTTCAATTAATAATTTCAATTAATAAGTTTTCAAAGGTAACGTTGGAGCGGTCTATAACCAAGAATCTTAAACAAGTGTAGAAGCATTGATGAAGTTCATAAAGAACGTGTAAGATGGTGTAACTATTGAGTCGCATGATGCAATAATTTGTTTAAGTTTAATCTAAGATCTCATCACGAGTATAAGTTCTGTTTGAGATGTATGCAAGAGTCATTGACTTGAAAAATAAATTAACGTTGAGGAAGTTGTCAGCATATGTAGTTCTTTATATGATCTAAATTGAATCTCGTACTCTTCTTTCATCATCTTAATATTTCTAAGTTACGTCTAAAACTGAAGTTTTTTTTTATATTAATTTTTTTTAAATTTTCTTTAGCTACTCGGTAAATATTTTAAAACATAAATTCTTTATTTGATGAAATTAGCCATTTTCATCACCCAATGAGCCCCCTTCTTGTAATGTTCTCTGGTGATACTTTGTTGTCTAACCTTGTTTCACTTTTCAAAATTTTCGTCTACGTTCCTCTCTTTTGAGCTCTAAAATCTTCTCTTACTTGTATTTAGTTTTTTCCTTTTCTAATTTTCTGATATATTTTATTTACCATGCATCTCCAATGTAATTATATAAATCGTTAATAATTTTAGCTATAATTTTGGGCTTTCTGTTTTGAAAAAAAAAAAATCTATATTTGTTTGGGAAGTGATCGCACAAAAGCATTTGATAAAATTGCGATGGTATTTTCTTGTTCCCAAATGGGTTCATTTTATCTCTTTTAGATATTGGATTGTCACTACAAATCTGATCTAAATAAAATAGATACAAAAAAGTATAGAGGGGAGAGTAATTTTCTCTTCATGCATGAGCCGTTAACGTAAAGATGTCCAAGATTAAGCAAAAATGATCATTCATTCTTCAGATTTATTTTTAGTTTCTACAGTTATTATTAGTATTATATGTAAAAAAAGCTAAATAGGCACATCTATCAAAGAGAAAACTCCAAAGAAGAAACATAAGAAGAAGGGCAACGATTGCCGAACAAAAGGTAGTGTTGTACGATGACACTTGAAAAGAATGTTTAAGCTTCTTCATGTGTTTACTTATGTATATGTGACGACCCCATAATTCATTTTGAGTACTAACCTTTGTTTTCGTGTTCTGAGACCTCCATTAGCTTCATTTGATATTTTCTTGATTTTTTTTTTGGCAATCCGCTAGACAAGCGCCTAGGGCTAGTTTTTTATTAATAAATGAAAATAAAAATGCAACAATTAGGAAAAGTACAAATAAGGGGGACAATAGCACCGGTTTTATTACCCATATGCCTTGGCTATATAATCACTCCTCTGCGCCTCACATTGCCTTAAGATGACAGCCTCATGTAGAGGATTCATGGTGTAGCTGCCGGCAAAGTCTCACGAGGGCATATA